TAACGACTCAATATTAATTGATTTTCAAAATTAAATCTTATTGTAAAGCATTAAAATTCAAAATTCTTTAGGAATTTTAAGTGAATCCTGAACAAGTTTAGCCATGACTGTGATGAGAGTGAGAGTGGTCTTGCTTTCGCTGATGTAACTGTTATTAAATATGCGACTTTAAGTTGTTATAATAAAGTCGATTTTTGTATGATATTATTCATATGCATGAGTTTACGCGTTCATCATAATACATTCGATCAATGTGGATTATTTTTTTTAAGTACACAAATAAAAAACAAATGTATAACATTCTTAATTAATTCTTATACTTTTTTTTTTAATTTTAACGACACGTTTGGCACAGTTTGTAGTGACCTTACTTGCTGTGCTAGGGGTTGTGGGTTCGAGTCCCGCTGATGGCATTCATTTGTGATGAGCATGAATGTTTGTACTCCAGTCATGGGTGTTTATAATTATAATATGTATATATTTAAAGTTATGCGTAGTGTATCAACTATCTGCTATTCACAACCCGGGCCTCGTAGCTTACCGTGGAATTACATAGATGGTGCTGTGTGTTAATGTCCCAACATATAAGCAAAAACTTTCGATTTAAAAAGTATATATTAATATAAAAAATACCGTAAAATAAATATAATAATAAGGATAAATAGCCGCATTCGCACATTTCATGGTTATAAGATCATAATTTATGTAATATATATCACAATTTATCCAATAAGAATGGGATAGTTTGCACAGACGCACTTACATATGTGAAGTGAAGTTAACTAAGTTAGTTAAGGTAAGTGTTAGTAAAGTGTAAAAAAGTATGAAGAATCTACGCAGTCTTAACTACGTCCAAGAATCGAATGTGAGACGCTTCACAGATATGAGATTGATTCTTACTTATACATAAATCTACTAGCGACTCACCCTCGCTTCGGTCGTTTTAACGGTTAGTATGAAATACAAGTCTTTGAATTTAAAAAAGCACGGTAAAAAGTATCCTATATCTTGTACCCGGATAACCAGTGGTTTTTCAATGATGCGGTAACAGACAGACAGACAAAAATTCTAAAAACTATAGATTCGGACTCTGTATCGTTAATAATGTCTATTTCAATAAGATTTTCGAAAAAATATTGAATATACAGATTCGACTCAGTTACAATTTTATTATATGTATGTATAAATATAGGATTGAAGTAAATTGATAGCACTAGTTCATCACAAAAATTTCATATACAAGAAAAGTCGAAGACCAAAACAAGTATGTATTAATAAAATCTGTTATTACATACATGAGCCTTCAGACGTATAATGGTTTAAAATGGCTTTGCGAATTGACATAATATCTTACATCTACACTCTGCTCGTCACTTTGATTAATGGAGTGTGTTTGTAAGAGTCGTACGCTTATTACTAAACCCGTTTTCAAATTATTGATTTTTATGATGTTCTAACAGTGATTGCGTTTTGTAATATAGTTAGTAGCTTGAAGCAATCATACTTATTTAATAATATCTGCCTCGGTGGTGTAGTGACTAGCATATACGGCTTCACACCCGGAGCTCCTGGGTTTGAGTCCCGGGTCGGGCCATGTTTAGTATTTCTGTATAGTAAGCCTCAGTAACAGCCCGGAGTTGGGAAGTTGGCGGTGTTACACCCCCGTGCCTCGGAGAGCACGTAAAGCCGTCGGTCCTGCGCCTTAACTCTCACTGGTCGATTGGCCGCCGTGGCCGGAATAGGTCAGGAGAACATCATCATCATCACTAATTTAATGTAACACCTCTAAGTAGAAATAAATGTTTAACGTTTCCATGTTTAGAATAGAATTCTTTATTTTGTGGCTTTGAGGCGAGCTAGTTTGGCACAGTTTACTCCACCAATGTGGCGTATAATGGAGAAGGCATGATGAAAATTGACCAGTGGCATGTGGTCTCATCAAGAACAAAGAAAAAATAGTTCAAATAAATGTCAATAGATGACGTTAAATATGTCGATTTGTTATTAAAGTTGTGTTAAATTAACAAAAGATAATAAAATGGGATACCAAAAAGGTATATTATTGTTTTAAAAAATATTCTAAGTGGAGGGAAACGAAATAATGAGCCCGTAAAACAAAGCGTAATTTTACCGATTATTGTAATATCACCAATCAGATGATGGGTTTGTAGTTCATTTTCACAGATAGCGCTTTTACTTTTTGGGAATTGTTTTTAAATCGCTGAAATTTTTTTTGGAATTCAGGATGAATTTTACAATATTTACTGTACGTTAGTTTAGTAACGAAATATCTATTATCTATTTAAGCAAACAAAAATAGCGAGAATTAGCGCTGTCCAATTTCTTTGTATGGGATGAGGCATCTATACTAGTATAGTATTATGTGAGCTGTGCCAGTATTAACAAGATTTTTGTGTATGTGTGTAACTCCTATATATATATATATATATATATATATATATATATGGCTGGCGCCGAATAAGCGTAAAGAGAGTAAAGAGGGTATGCGAATGGCATAAATCAAAAGTCACCGTTGCCTATACATATGTATGTAATATAATTAAATTTATATGACACTCCAATTACCATTTATTATAAATATATATTTTACACCATAATTACTACATTGGATAAAGACTGGTGTTCTATAACTGATATAAGAACATTTAAAATATTATCTATACTAATATTATAAAGAGGTAAAGTTTTTGACGTTCTCTGAATCTACTGAACCGATTTAGATAAAATTTGGTAAGAAGATAGTTTGAGACTCTGGGAAGGATATAGAATACTTTTTATCCCGGAAGTCATTCCCAAGGGGGTAAAAACCCGAGCGAAGCGAGGGTAAATCGCTTGTATATTATAAAAGAAAACAGATGTTATCTTTGAGGATTTTTTCGCGGTTTTTTTTATTTTAATTATTAATTTAAATCCGAAATAATAGTTTTAATGTCACTTATACGCGTAAATCTAAAAAAGTAAAAATGCAAAATGCTATGCAAAAAATAAAGTTTAACGAATTATATAAATATTTAATATTTAAACAGTAGGTACTTACTTTGTTGTAAATCTTCCGAAATGAATTTGAATTGATAGAAATTTAAATAAACGAAAGAGAAATGAATAATAAAAACGTGGGATATTTAAAAATAATATGATATAACTTCACACTCAAACACATACGTATTCAGATACACAGACACACAGATCTTTTTATGTATAGATAATTATAATCGACATACTTAGTTTTAGATTTTCTTTGATAATATTACCTTATTTTTACTGTAGAAGATCTTTCTATATCAGGATTTTATAAACTTACAAGATTTACAAGAAGTTCTCCATACTTGTACGGTAAATACAAGTTTTACTACTTTTTTTACTTATTACTTCTATTTTTTCATCCCATTGCTGGGCGTGGACTTTTCGTCAATATGAGGGGGATCAAGCTACAGATCATCATGCTGGCCAAGTGCGAGTGGACACTTCACATATCTTTCCATAACTAGTATATAATTAGAATTTATGTACTAATTGAATAAATAATTTTTCATATCTCATTTCTTTTATTTTTTAATTTTACATGCAATTTACATCTAAATGGCTATTACTCGTAAGACGAAACTTTGTCGTAATGAAAGTAATTTTATTTAAATAAGACACAGCGTTGTTTGTTTCTGCGTCTAAAATCATTAAAACGAAATTGCTGCGATTAAAGTCTGTCTCAAATTTATTTAAAAAATTACGCATATTAGTAATTTATTTAAAATAGGCTAATTAATTATGCAGTTTAGACATCAGATAAGTATGATTCAGCGTAATTTTTATGTTCTTAAGATTCATAAATCTTTTCCTTGTTACGTAAGAAAGCAAATCGTGCGGGCAAGTTCGATGCCCTTAACACATACCGTGGTTATTTTTTTATATGACGTACAGATACTACGTATTGCCACTCTCGATATCATCTGAATCGAATATATTTAATACTAATGATCAGCACTTGCTTTGTCCGTATGCTATTTTTTTAATATTTCTCGTAAATAATAATATATGTAAAATTGTGTATTGTTGTGTATTTTTTATTAAGTTAAAGTTATATAATATACGGTCAAAAACGTTTCACTTTTCATATTAAATTTGTCGCTTCTTTTTTAGTGATTTAACCTCATATTAGTATTACAAAACACTTATACCGTATAAAGTGTGATTTTGATACAGTTTTTGACAATCTAAAACTTAAACTAGAAGATTTTATTGAAACTATATAAATATTTTAAGAAAGTACATTTCTCATCTATTAATTGTTTGTTTTAAATTAACTTTTTTGGGAAAAAATCTAAAATTTTCAAACAAACATGATATGTTAACCAAATTATGTATATACGATGTCGTAAAGGGAAATTTCCAAATGTCAAGGTTTACGCAACTGAATTGTTTAGAGTGGGTGCTTTTACGTAATAAATATATTTAGCGAAGCTCTTACTTTACCGTTTTGTAAGGAGCTTCATTCTTATGCAAGTGAGGTCACTCTGTCCCGCATTGCGTAATGGCGGAGAAAACTTTCTAACATCTGTTGGTCAGGTGTAAAGTTTGACTTGTTAATGTAAAAAAATAACAGATGACACGATAAAAGACCTTGGCATCTCCGACTTGATGCTTACGATATATTTGTATACTCAGTTATGTGTGCTCTTTCTCTTGGTTAGATGACTCTAAATCGATTTCTTTTACTTTTGTACTCGAATATTGTTTGTTTAAGTGTAGTGTGTGTATTATTTGACTTAAATGGTACGATTTTAGAGAGTTATGAAAATAAAACCATGGAGTTCGTTGGTTTATCGAGTTTTTTATGCAAAAAGATTTTATAATACAACTAAAATTATACATTAAAATTACTATTTACATAAATACATTTAGGCACCGTAATTTTTTCTCTACTTATAACTAAATTTGTCGCCGGCTGAGCAGGTATCACAAGTTAGCACGCGGGGTGCGGTTTAGTATGGGCCACCGGAGTGTCCGGGGGGTCCGTAAGAAGAGCTGACGGAGCCGGAGCCGCTGATGCTGCCACCGCCGATGCTGCCACCTCCGATGCTACCACCAGAGATGCCAATGCCAGATCCACCGTGTCCACCACCGATACCACCGCCAATACCAGATCCGCCGAGTCCACCACCAATACCACCGCCAATACCACCGCCAATACCACCTCCGATGGAACCACCGTCCTTTTGGGTCTTGTATTTGATGAAGTATACTTCGGGCTTTGAGGGTTGGGTGGGAGCGGCAGTGGGGATGGTGATGTCGGGTTGATCTTCGGGTTTCTTGACCAATACGTATACGAGGGTCTTCTCTTCGTTTTGGGCTTGAACAGGGATGACGGGCGCTAAAGGTGCAGGAGGTGATGGGGCCTTGATGAAGATGATCTTGTAGTGTTTCTGGGGGGTGCCACCGCCGACAATGGTTTGTTGGCGTGGTTCTTCAGGTTCTGGGGGTGGAACGTGGACGTAGATGTGTTTCTGGACGATGGGGGTACCTCCGAAGCTGCCTCCGAATCCACCTCCGAATCCGCCTGCGAATGCGGCACCGCCGCCGCCGCCGGAGCTGAATCCGCCGCCGGAACCGAAACCGCTGCCGAAGGAGGATCCACCGCCAGAGGAGAATCCTCCACTGATTCCACCACCACCAATACCGAAGCTGCTGGAGCTCAGACCACCGGAGGAGAAGCCACCGCTGATTCCACCGTGGCCGCCACCGATACCTCCCCCGATACCACCGATGCCTCCATGACCTCCAAGACCACCGCCACCGGGCGCGTTGTAGGAGTATCCGGCTTCGGGTCTCGCCGAGCCGATCGCCGCAACGGCTGCTAATACCTGAGACACAAAAAAGGACATTTTCACATACCTATTTATAAACCAAAGCACGATTTCAAAATAATTTGATCATTTAAAAATTTATCAATTGAAATTGAATATAAACTACATATAAGCCCGCCCGTAGCACTGAAACTTCCTGAAATCGATTCCCATGATCGATGACATATCGCTCGAGTAATTGTATCGAGAGCACTGAGTCACAATCCCATAAGGAAGCACGACTCTTGCGGGTCACACACAGGTCACAACACTTTCACTACACACGGATACCTACCAAGAACGCTTTCATGTTGTCTCACGGAGGTCTCGTGGTTGTGTGATGCTCTGTACCTGATTCACTCGGCTTTTATACAGACGGCTCGTCGATGCCTCTCTCCCTGACTCTTCCTAAGATTCGGCCTTCAGGCTATACGAGAATTATGATTTTAATGACACCCGTCCGAATTCGCCTTCGGTGAAAACAATGTAGAACTTTGGATCGACACTTTCTCGGTAAAAACTAACATGTTGACGTTTTTTCATATATATTTAATTGTTCATTGTTGTAATTACTATAGTTTTATGAGAATTAATAAGTATTCTTATTAATTCTCATATATGATAATAAATGTTTCAAGCCTTTTTTTCGTATAAGCCTGCTTGCATTTTAATGTAGGTATAGAGTTACCCTTAAAAAGAGTTCAACGACTCAAATAAAATTTTAGAAACAGGATGTTTTTTAAAACTAAATAAATATGATTATTGAAAACCACTCTAATGACAAAATTTTGTTATATTGACTTATACAATTTATACCTCAGAAGTGTACGTTATTTATTGCGTCTGAATATCAGTAATTTTGCATCATACAAAAATCTAGCGCAAAAAGTCAATTATAATTTCTTGTACATAAACATATGTACAATGTTCATATAATGTATATTATTTTAATTTGCTTACTAAACATCATTGAATATATAATAAACTCTAATATAATAGAGCTACGAATTTATATGTATTTCGCAATGCGTGATGTAATTTAGTTATTTCCATAAGAAATAAGATATTTGCCATTTAGTATTAATGTTTTGCTTCCATGCAAGAATCTCTCTGGAGAAGCATTTTGACACATTCATTAATACTGTAGTATATGAGTAGTGTCATGGGTTCGATTCCCATTTGTAGTAGTGGTAGTATCCGAAGCAGGTTTTGCCTCCAGTCCATTTAAGGAAAAATTAGCATCTGTCTTCCAACTAGCAATATTCTAAATAAAACGGAGAAATATTGCTATTTATACTCTCTCTCCTTTGAAATACAAAGTTCTTGTAGCAATCGATAAATAAACAAATTGTAGAGCAGAGTAATAATAATATGAATTTATATATATGAAAAAATGTGTTAGATTTTTAAAATTATCAATAATATGTATGTACAAATAAATAAAAAATATTAATGATATAAAAAATAGGTTACAGTAGATATTTATTACGCTTTTAATCCATTTTGTACAAAAATGTGAACTTTAGATTGTATTTATTTATTTATTTTAGGGAAACAATCAGTACAATACTACCTAAAAAAAATTAGTTACGTTTATTTAGTGAAGATAAAATTGACTTGTAATTATCCAATGTGCATCTTTTAACGATTGTTGTTAAAAATACTTTAAAATATGCTTAAAATTGAATATTTACCATATAATGTTATGAGATTTGGTAGTAAGAAGTATAAGAGATTCACTTGTACACAGACTGGTACACCGTAGTTTTTACTTAGACTCATATCTTACGAAAGGACTTGGGTCAATCTGACATTTAAATAAAAACTCTAATGAATCAAGTAAAATAAGGGTACATTTTTAATAATTATTTATTTTCATATAAAAATGTCTTTCAAGGTTATATATATATATATATATATATATATATATATATATATATATATATATATATATATATATATATATATATTTCGTATATAATATGTACATGCCAGTGGTTTTTTTTGCATATAAAACCTTAAGTCATTTTCTTAGAGATTGTTTTTTTGAAGCACATTTTTTAACTTTGCCCAAATATAACACATGTGTATACGTACAGCTATACATACTTAAATGGTTTTATATATACATAGTAGCTTAGAGCAAAAAATGTCATGTTATATGACTCTTGTCTCTCAACACGCATTTCATTTCTTATTGATTATTATCTTTAAGATACATACATATGTAAAAATTTTGAATATAATAATACTTTCTTCGACTTACACGAATATTTGGTATTTTATTGAATTTTTTGCAGACTTATTTTCATTTTTGGTTCCCGACGTTTCAATTATAAACGTTGTTGAAATAACAAAAAATATTTAAAATTAACAAATATTATAAGGAACTTTGGTGCCATTTTTCTATTTATTGTATGGTTTTTATGAGACGTCTAAAACCTATGTCTCTCCCATGACCATGGTTGTTGTAAAGCATTCGAAACGTCGCGGTGAACCAAAACTCAAATAAATCCACGAAAAAATCTAAAAAGATAGTGTTATTTAAAAATATATATTACCATGAATACTTTTTGAGCATAAATACACTGCCTTAAGGGTTGTATTCTGTGATCATCCCCCAAAGAAAGTGTAGCGCTTAATAGGGAGCTAGTAACGAAATATATTTATAGGCTCCATATTAAATTTTAATTATAGTTAGTGATTATGAACAAACAAATATGTAGAACAGATATGTTTTTATTATATAATGTCGCTTAGATGATATTTTATATTAGGATAATTGCACAACTTTTACAATGTATAACTGGTTTCCTAACAAAGCATCAGATATCAGGATCAGGTCGGATAAGATAAACATAACATTTCAACGCTGCATTTAGTAGGCATACGAAGTAAACTAAGTTATGTAATATATGTATCCTTAGAATGAAACACATATACTGTAATCATTATATTGTCCTCTTTAATAGTAAAAAAAAACTGATAATTTTACCAAATAGGTTTGTAGGTATACTAGAGAAATATCCAAAAGTATTCTAAAACTTTCCGATATATGGACTATATCTATAAAAAATAGGTCAGTACGTTTGTCCTTTACTCTTCAACGCCTTTATTAAGGACAAACATACAGACTTATATGATGTTATATTTAAGGACAAGACTTAAGCAAACTTTTATATACAATTAGTTGGTATGCTTTAGCTATAGATTTAAAAGTATATATATGGTAAAAAATATATAATAGTATGCTGTATGGAGATCCTCGAAGCCACGGTTATTTATTTAACGATTTTTATTCGAGAGAAACGAAAAAAATATGAAAAATAATTTTTTTTTGTACTAAAGTCAAACCTAAAACTATATAATTAATCATATATGTAATAAATATACATTTGTACTACCACTTTCTAAGTCGGTTAAGTTCAAATTCTGTATCATAATGAATAAACGATAAACGGATTACATTATTTATTGAGACATGATAAATTGATGCCCTCTGACACGAAGCTTGTGTCATCGCTTCTATACGATATTCTATTGACGAGTTCACTTCACTTTCGAATTTTATTAAAACGTAACGTGCTTAGAGTACCTATTTTGTGATTATTTTACTTTAAATATATTTTTGCTTAAAGTACTGTAAGTATAAGCTACTATTTCGGCATTTCATTAAGATCGAGCGTTGGTTTAAAAGATATGGCTTATGAAATTCAAATAATACACAAGTTTATTTAAATGTTATATTATATAAAAATTACAAAAAATCATACTTATAAATATGACTGACAACATTGTGTCTACGAGTATTTAATACTACCGACTTCACCCGCGTTTCTACATCCATTAAGAATTACTAATGTTCACCTGTGGTCGAAATCATTATTGAAAATTTGAGGAAAAGAGATATATATATATATATATATATATATATATATATATATATATATATATATTTATATATATATCCATTTTTTGTATTGATTTCACTAAAGCTCTCCAATAGCTCTTAAATTAAAAAAAGAAAATCGGCTGACAAACAGACGAGAAAATGATACTGAAATTATTTGTGTTTGCCTATCTAATATATAAATATGTCACGGTGTTTGTGGTCACACTCCTCCGAAACGGCTCGACCGATTGTTGTAAAGTTTTTTTTACTCTCCTACCCCCACCCTCCATTTTTTAAGTAACTAGGATCGAACCAGAGCGGAGCGAGGGTGAGTCGCTAGTTTATATATAGATTTAAATACGGTTATAAAATTCTTCGAATAGCCTAAATATCTTCAAAAGAAAATCTTCAAAAAATCTTATCATAAAGACTCACAATATATGTTTTTTTTCTATAATAATTTTAAGGATTAAATCTAAAACATAAAATAAAATTAAATGCTTCTTTATATATTTTATATCCTTGCTTTCTTATATGCATAACATATACAGATGGCATATATATTTATAAAAAAAATGTGTATGACATAATAGTGAAAAGGAGAAATTAAAGTAAAAGGTTCGGTTTATTTTCATAATCAGTAAGCTCATTTTGTGTAAAAATGTTAATTATATTATTTATTAATTCTTAAAATTTTATAATCATATGGGTCTCAACAAGCTAAAGCAATTTATTTGAAATTCGATGAGCTTTTAAGCATCCAAAAGTAGCTTTAAGATATTCACATAAAAGTTTACCTATTTCTAATGAATTTCGTAACAAAAATATCTGGGAAGTAAAAAAAAATTCATATTTTTAAAGATATTTTTTTCTCCTTCAACATAAATAGTACAAGCTTTCCTGTATTGATGATCGTACGTATTTCATGAAGAGTATTATAATATTAACATATTATAATACTCTTAAATTATTAAATTATTATCGAATAGATATCGTTTAAAGTCAATCTATAACAATTAGCTATGTATTTAAGAATTTCAAAAATGTATATGTTTATCCGATATTAATTTATAATTAAACGGATCTTACAATTTCATTGCGACCTAAAAGGTTGAGAATTTGTTAGCTTGGACATGTTAATATTTGG